GGTTGCGACGTCACCCCGAGTAAAGGTTCCTGTCTTGGAGGTCCCTTGTTTTCGGTGGGTTGTATTCTATTTTGCCCAGATTGAGGGAACATTGGAATCTCGTTTTTCGAATGGAGCTTGATACCCACATCCCCCATATGTTGCTACTTTCCGCCCAAGGCAAAGAAAGGGTGTGTATGTGTGTTTGGTTGATTTTTCCAGGCCCTTCAGATCTGAAATCCGGATAAACCAACTAATTGTTACTAATTGATGTTCGTCAAGAAAGCCAGATGGGAGTGGGGAAACGGTTGCTTGGTTTCTCCTAGACCCCCGGAGAAGTTTGTTTGCCTGCAGCATGGGGAATCAGAGCCTGTAACGGGGGGCGATGCTGTGGAAAATCTGTGTCTTCCGAAATGCAGAATGCAGTCGGCGGGATCTCCTTCGCTGCTCAGGAACCCAACGTGGATCTCCAAATTGGCGACTTGAAGTGGGAACACAGGGGCACCAACCCGGTAAGACAAGCAGGCATGCGAGCCAGGATAGGAGTTGCGAGTTTGACGAATGTTAAAGCCGCTAGTGGATGACAAAGCGGCAGTGGCCATTGGCCTGTGTTGGATTCAGCTTGAAATAGATGGCCCTGGTTTAAGGTTGGTTTTAATCAGTAGTGGAGCCTGCCCATCTTCTATTCTTCTCAACGGGATTTTGTTGTGTTTCCGTTGAAATGCCTCACGCCGATGTGCGGCTGAGGCAAATTTGGGTCTCGGCTCCAATGCCGCAGCTTGCCTGCATTGGGATTTCCTGATGGACCAGATGTTCGAAGGCCTTTTGGGGCCCACCCCTTTCACCGGGCGATGTCCTCGCTGTTGGTTTCCCAACGGATAATGGAATGGAAAGGCGAATCAGAATTCCAAGCCTTCTTTTTGAGCAGGAGAAAAACGACACCTTTCTTTGCGATGGTGTTTACGAGGGAAGCCAGTTTGACTTGTGTCTTCAACTAAGGACCCCGCAAAATGATGCAAGGCATACCCAGCTTGTGTCTTCTTGTTTCTTCGCTCATTGCTTTGTGTCTCTTTCATTAAACGCCGGGCACGGAGCTCTTGGGGATCAAGACGAACCTGTTCGTAGCTTCCATGTGATCCGCCCGCTTGGACCAATGGCAGTCGTCCGAAAGCTTCGTGCGGGTCGGGTTTTGTTCTCAGGCCTCGCCGCGGCGCAAGAGCGCGACAGCAGCTTGGCTGGTCTTCCTAGGCTCTGCGCGGCAAAAGTGTTGCCCAAGCTTTAGTGGCACAACATGCTGTTATGAGCTCCTTTTTGTCGTGTGTGTGCGTGTGTGGGTGGGTGGGTGGGTGCGTGGGTGCGTGGGTGGGTGTGGGGGTGTGTGGGAGATGTAGGGGTGTGAGGGGGTGTGAGGGGGTGTGAGGGGGTGTGAGGGGGTGTGAGGGGGTGTGAGGGGGTGTGAGGGGGTGTGAGGGGGTGTGAGGGGGTGTGAGGGGGTGTGAGGTGTGAGGGGGGTGGGCAGGGTGGGTGAGAGTGGGAGTGGAGTGGGTGGGAGTGGGAGTGGGCGCTGGGCAGGTGCTCAATTGTCAGTTTTGTTGTGGATTGTGTTTCCTTGTGGCACGACAAGAACGCCTGCCCTCGTTCGCAAGCGGGCTTGCGTCATTGCTGGGCGGGTGTCCAGACTCAATCCACGTTGGGTGTGGCGAAGCACATTTCAGCATGGAGGCAAAATCCGCCTTCTGCCACCAAATCGGGCTGTCCCCTGCCCTGGGCTCCTTCGGATCCCTCAGAGACCTTCAGCTGAGGCAAGCCGCCGCAAGCCCAAGGCGTGGTGCCAAGTGAGCTGCAGTTGGTTGAGGTCCTGGGTTTGGCTGGGCTGTTTGTTTGTTTGTTTGTGGTGTTTCCAAAAATGGACTCTGAACATTACCAGACTTGGCTTCCCGTACGCCCTTTGTTTTGTGTGCTTTTATTTTCCCTGGGGCTCCCTTTTTTTTCACCCTCCGAACTTGTTTTTTTAACCCTTCCTTTTTTTTCAACCCTCAAACCCTGCTTGGGAACCGTCGGCGGGAACCTTGTTTCTCCAACCCTGAGAAATCCTTTCTTTTCAACCCCTCACCTTGTTTTTTTCACCCTTTGCCTTGTTTTTGTTCACCCTCCGCCTTGTTTTTTCCACCCGCGAGCTTGCTTGTTTCACCCCGCAACCTTGTTTTTCTCACCCTAAACCTAAAACAACCTAAGCCTGCCCCGCACCCAACCCAACCCAAACCAACCCTAGGCCCGCCCAAAGCCAAACCTTGCGAACCCTCAGTATCTCTAAATCCATCTCAAACCAGCCAAACACGCCCAAACCCACCCCAAACCCACCCTACACAACACCCCCTAAACTGCAAGCAAGCCAGAAACGTCTTTTGTCCAACCCTAAACCCACCGCAAGCACCACAGACCTTCTCGAAACCACCCTAAAGCATACATAACCCACCCCTAACCAATCCCAAACCGACCCTAAACCAACCCTAAACCAACAAGCCAGTCCTGCACCCACCCTAAACCCACCCTACACGAACTCTAAACCCACCCGAACCTTGATCCAATCATAATCCCACCCCACACCTTAAGCTTAGCCTAAGCGAACAATAAACCCACCCTAAACCCGCCTAAACCCCAATCCCACCCTAATCTAGCCTTAATGCAACCCTAAGCCCAACCTAAACCAACCTGAACAGACCCACCGACCCAAAACCAACCCTTAACCCGAAAACGACCCTAAGCCAATCCTAACCCAATCCTAAACCCACTCTAAACCAGCTTTAACCAATCACGAACCACCCCGAAAACCAACCTTAAACTCAAGCCCAGCGAAAACCAACCCTAAACCAACCTTGCACCCACCCTAAACTCACCCAAAAACAACCCTAAATCCCCACCCTAACAACGCTAAACCCACACTAAACTCAAAACCAACCTAGCCCGACACCAACCCTAACCAACCCTGAGCCACTCCAAAGCAACCTTAAACCAACCATAAGCCCACCCTGTACCAACCATGAACCCATCCTGATCCAACTCTAAGCGCACCCTGAGACTCTAAGCTGAGCTTGGCCCAACCCTAAATCCCTAGGCCAGCCGCAAAACCAATCCACATCCAAGCCTAAACCAACCCCAAACCCCGCCCTAAACCATCCCAGACCAACCCTGAACCAACCTATATCCACGAACAACATACCCTTAAACACCCTAAGCCCACCTGAAATCAAGCCACCCCAAATCAACCCTAAGCCACCCTTGAGCGACCCCAAGCCTCCCCTAGCGCAACCCCAACTCCACCCTAGACATAGACAAACCGTAAACCCGCCCTGAACCAACCCTACACCAACCCTAAGCCAACCCTACAGCCACCACAGACCTACTCCAGACCACCTAAACCAAACACAAAGCCACCGAAATCCTGCTCTAAATCTACCTAATCCAACTCTACACCCGAAGCCGACCCCAAACCCACCTCAAACAGATTCTAAGCCAACACTAAATCCACCCTAAATCCACCCTGAAGCCTTTCGACACACGCCCTAATCCCACCCTAAACAAACACCATGTAAATCCAACATTAATCCCAAGCCTGACCTCACCCTAAACCCATTCTAACCCGCCCCTGAACCAACCCTAAATCCATCCTAAACCCGCTGTAGACCCATTCTCCAAGCCCAAAACCACCCTCATCCAACTTTAAACCCACCATATACCCAGCACAGACCTGCTCGAAACCAACCTTAAACTTAAACCGACCACAAACTTGCTCAACAAACCCTACCCCGCCTCTAAACCCTTAAATCCACCCTTCCCATCCGAAACCAACCCTAAACCCACCTACCACCCCCGCCCGAACCCACCCTAAACAAACCCTAAATCCGAAGCCGCTCCTAAACCAACCCAACCCTGGACCGTTGCTTAGTGCAGTTGCCGCAAACTTCGGCCACAGGGTTGGCAAAAAAGAAATGGAGTGTTAAAAGGAAGAGGTGGAGGGTCAGAAAGAAAGGGGGGAGGGTTAAAAAGAAGGGGGGAGGGTTTAAAAAAACGGGGGGAGGGTTAAATAGAAAGGATGAAGGGTTGAAAAAACAGGGAAGGGTTGAAAAAAAAGGTTTGGAGGGTGAGAAAAAAGGGTTCCCCTTTTCCCTGCCATTGCCTCATGAGAGGTAGTCTACAGGTTTGGAGATGGAGGGACAAGCAACATTTCATCCCGGGAAAGTTTGCATCATTTTGCTGTGGGTCAAACCCTGTACCCCTGGTGAACATCAAAATTGGTGGCAAATGGATGCTCATCCACCCCAAAATGGAGCCATAGGTTATGCTTCATGGCCATTCGGTCCGGGGCTCAGGCCCTCACGCGGCTTGGCACCGGAGCCGATTCGGCCTCCGATACACCGCGCAGCGCTCAGTTGCTCAATTAGCGGCCCACAGCAAAGGAAGAGGAAGCAGCCCACTTGTCGCCTTGCACGAGGATTTCCACTACAAACTAGGACCCCGGGCAAGAAACCGCTCGACACTTACAAGGCGATTGTATAATATATCGTTTCCCTTGGGTAGTGGGCAGTTGAAGTTTGAATTTTGGTTTCCACTGTTTGCGGGGACGCCCGTCATGTTTGGCGGGTTGGCGTACTGATCCTCTCAGCATGAAGTCCGTTGAAAGTAACAACTTAGCTAGTGTTTGCCCTGTTGGCCCTCACCGCAAGGAGTTCTCTTTTTGGCTAGGGAAATTGTGGCAAAGGAATGCTGGCGTCTGAGTGTTGCCCTGAAATTTCCGTGCCAAGGACTGCCAGCGACCGCAACTTTCTCATTGAAAGGACTGGCGCCATGGGAAGATTCGAAGATGTCGGCGTCCCAATGGTAAGTCCAGACCTCCAGTGGCGCCTGTGCTTGTTTTGTTCAAAGAAATGGGGCGTCGTTTTTGTTGAACTCGGGGTTTTATTGCGGCCGGGAAAGCCAGGGTAGCCATTGAGAGGTCCAGGAGGCCTATGGCACTGGCCAGGATGAAGACCGGTGATGTCTCTGACGACGGTGAGAAGGCAAAGGACAGCTTCCGCGTGCGTTGGACTGCCGCGGACTTGAGGTTCAACCGGTGGCTGGGTTTGCGGCTGCTTGTCGTGTTTGTGGTTTGCGGGCCGCACGATTTGAGACGAATGCTGCAAGACGGGGGCTCATGGCTCGCATCCACGATCAGGCCTTTATATATAACGCTCTTGTGTGGAATATTGTGTTGCTGGCACACCCTTTGGCACACCCTCTGAGATCTCTTGAAGGGCGATTCAAATGACATGCGCCTGGCCATCTTTGGGCTTCCAGTCCCGAGTCGATCAGGGATGGCCTGGCGGCATTTTGCACCTTCCTGAGATCAGATTCGGTGCGACGGCATTCCAGGTCGTGAAGGTTTCTATCCAAGTAGAGGTTAAACCCTTCCATATTGCATGAGTGTGCATGGGCATATGTTTGTTGTGAAGTTCCCTTTGGGAGCGGTTTTTCAGGATGAACCACACCAGGAAGCTACTGGCTGGTTTAGTGTCCCCACACTTGGAGACATTGCTGTTCCAAACATGGCCTGTGCGTCGAACCCTTGCGTAAGCCTCATTCATAGTAGAATTTCATGTCTGGGATTCAGAAGCCCAAGATCATTGAACGATGGTTCTGGTCAGGAGCGCTCATCTCCCAGAGCGGGTGATAGCACCAGGACGGGACCGTGGCCCCGGACGGTTGGCTTCCTTCGGGTTTTCATCTCATGGCCATTCAAACAGATCTTTCACGGGGGCTCCTGGATATGGCTCGTTGCAGGAAAGAAGGCGTCGACGTCGAAGGCTGGCACTCGGAGAGTTCTTGTAATATTTGTGTCCTGAACCTCCTCTAGCCTCCAAGAGGTGGACGGCTTTCCAAGTGAAGCCTAAACAAACAACTGACGAGGATGTTTCAATTGTTAAGCCGGAAAGCAAGTTTTGCCCGGTAAGGCAAAATCAACCATCCATCGGAGGTCCGCATCTCACAGATCCGCTGTTTTGCCAGCGGAGACGCTCTTTGGGCTACTTTCTGCGGGTTGGTTGGGGTTCAAAGGCTCTGTTCAAGGAAGACCACACACCAAATTAGGCATCTCTGGACGCCGAAACAAGTACTCGAATTTAAAAGAAACATATTTTGCGTAGGCTTGTAAGCGGCTTGTAGGCATTTCGTCTAAAATCTGACTGGAGGGCCTTCGTGGCACCCTCCGTTTCACCCCGTTCCTTCACTGCAGCCTACTGCAGCCGACAAGCTCGTCTTCTTCGTGACCTTCCACCGGGCTCCTGTCAAAGCACGATCGCAACGAACCTCTCTTTACAGTAGCCGAGCGTAAATTTGCGTGTTGAGGTCCTCGTTGTCGCGTAGGCGGCGTAGGCAGGTACGCAGTCAGCTCGGTCTCGCGTAGGCGTTTTTGAAGGCGTGGCGGGCGTGGCGTAGGCGCCGCGTAAACCAGTGAAAACTGATAAGGACCCACACAATTAAACTAGACGACGAGTGGCCCGGAAGCATAGAGGCAAGTTGATGCAGGTGAGGTAACTCTCGCAAAGTTAGCATGAGGAGTTGGCAGGCGAAGTAATTCTCAAAAAGTTGGCATGAGAAGCTGGCAGGTTAAGTAACTCTCGAATAGTTGGCTGGCAAAGTTGGCGGGTGAAGTAATTCTCGCAAAGTTGACATGAGAAGTTGGCAGGCGAAGTAACTCAAGAGAAAAGTTGGCATGAGAAGTTGGCAGGTGAAATAACTCTCAAAGAGTTGGCATGAGAAGTTGGCAGGTGAAGTAACTCTCGAAAAGTTGGCGTGAGAAGCTGGCAGGTGAAGTAATTCTCGAAAAGTTGGCACGAGAAGATGGCGCGTGAAGTAACTCTCGAAAAGTTGGCGTGAGAAGCCGGCAGGTGAAGTAACTTTCGAAAAGTTAGCATGAGAAGTTGGCAGGCGAAGTAATTCTCGAAAAGTTGGCGCGAGAAGTTGGCAGGCGAAGTAACTCTCGAAAAGTTGGCAGGCGATGTTGGCAGGTGAAGTACCTCTCGAAAAGTTGGCATGAGAAGCTGGCAGGTGAAGTAATTTTTCGAAAAGTTGCCACGAGAGGTTGGCAGATAAAGTATTTCTCGAAAAGTTGGCATGAGAAGTTGGCAGGTGAAGTAATTCTCGAAAAGTTGGCAGGTGAAGTTGCCACGAGAGGTTGGCAGGTAAAGTATTTCTCGAAAAGTTGGCATGAGAAGTTGGCAGGTAAAGTAATTCTCGAAAAGTTGGCATGAGAAGCTCGCAGGTGTAGTAACTCTCGAAAAGTTGGCATGATAAGCTCGCAGGTGAAGTAACTCCTCGAAAAGTTGGCACGAGAAGTTGGCAGGTGAAGTAACTCTCGAAAAGGTGGCATGAGAAGCTGGCAGGTGAAGTAATTCTCGAAGTTTCGGCATGAGAAACTGGCAGGTGAAGTAATTAACCCTCAAAAAGCTGGAGCGGCGGAGGCGCTCCGCGTGCTACATTTGCAATTTACAGTTGCGATTTTCCAGCCATTTGTATCTAAAAGTTGCGATTTTCCAGCCGGAGCTGCGGGAGCACGCTCCGCGTACTACGTCTGTACTTAAAAAGTGCGATTTTCCAGCCGGAGCTGCAGCAGCCTCCGCGTACTACGTCTGTACTTAAAAGTTGCGATTTTCCAGCCGGAGCTGCAGGAGCACGCTCCGCGTACTACGTTTGTACTTAAAAGCTGCGATTTTCAAGCCGGAGCTGCCGCGGACCAGGGGGGAATCGAACCCGGGACCGCGGGATTGCGAAAGCAGGCGCGCACACCACGAGACAACTTCCAAAAGCCGTTTCGCGAGCAAGAAAATCGCACGGCGCCACAGCGAGAGCGCTTCGACACGCACGATCTCCGCAGAGGGTTCGCCGGTCAAGACAAATTCGCACGGCGCCACAGCGAGAGCGCTTCGACACGCACGATCCCCGCAGAGGGTTCGCCGGCTCAAGACAAATTCGCACGGCGCCACAGCGAGAGCGCTTCGACACGCACGATCTCCGCAGAGGGTTCGCCAGGTCAAGACAAATTCGCACGGCGCCACAGCGAGAGCGCTTCGACACGCACGATCTCCGCAGAGGGTTCGCCAAGGTCAAGACAAATTCGCACGGCGCCACAGCGAGAGCGCTTCGACACGCACGATCTCCGCAGAGGGTTCGCCAAGGTCAAGACAAATTCGCACGGCGCCACAGCGAGAGCGCTTCGACACGCACGATCTCCGCAGAGGGTTCGCCAAGGTCAAGACAAATTCGCACGGCGCCACAGCGAGAGCGCTTCGACACGCACGATCCCCGCAGAGGGTTCGCCGGTCAAGACAAATTCGCACGGCGCCACAGCGAGAGCGCTTCGACACGCACGATCTCCGCAGAGGGTTCGCCGCGGTCAAGACAAATTCGCACGGCGCCACAGCGAGAGCGCTTCGACACGCACGATCTCCGCAGAGGGTTCGCCAAGGTCAAGACAAATTCGCACGGCGCCACAGCGAGAGCGCTTCGACACGCACGATCTCCGCAGAGGGTTCGCCGGTCAAGACAAATTCGCACGGCGCCACAGCGAGAGCGCTTCGACACGCACGATCTCCGCAGAGGGGTGCGTTTCGTAAGCTCCCGTCGGGCCTACCCCCGCCATAAAAAGAAGAAGAATTAAGAGTCGAGATGTGAAGGTAGAACAGAAAAGTTAGCTTGTGTTTTTAGGATAGTGAAGTAACACCCGACAAACTAGCTTGTGCTTTTAGTAGAATGAGATAACAGCCGAAAAGTTGACATGAGAAGTTGGCAGGTGAAGTAACTCTCAAAAAGTTGACACGAGAAGTAGGCAGGTGAAGTAACTCTCGACAAGTTGGCATGAGAAGTTGGCAGGGGAAGTAACTCTCAACAAGTTGGCATGAGAAGTTGGCAGGTGAAGTAACTCTCGACAAGTTGGCATGAGAAGTTGGCAGGTGAAGTTGGCAGCCGCTTTTAGAAGAAGAACCCTTCGCAATGCTTCCGGGAAAAAACATGCTCATTTGGTCACTCCCCTTAAAAAGCTGCATTTCGCCACTCTTCTTGGACAATGTCATATCTCTGCTTTGCACGTCTCTCTGTATAATATATAAATAATATATATATATATATATGGTTTTACATATTGTTGTATGAATATATATATATATATATGCTATTATGTATATTATGTATAGGGGCGTGTTTCTGTTGAGTACCCCATTTTTTGCGGTTTAAACAGAAAGAACAGACAGCCGCAGGTCCTGGCAGCTGGGAATCGCCGGACTCGCAGGCACCTGATAGCTTTGGCTCGGCTCGACGGCCGGGGGAAAAGCGGTTGGTTCGGTTTCAAACTGGGTTTTACCCCGTTTTGGTTGGTATTTAACAGGTCTTTAAAGGGGACACATAAGAATATGTTGAAGGGAAAAAAAGTTAAAACTTATCATTTTGTTTGGGCGACCTCCTCGCTTTGAGAAACCGCCTGTTCAAACTCTATTTCCCTTTTTTCGCTGTGTCCACCGAAGAGAAACATTTGGGAAGCGAATCCCAAGACCGTTTTACCGTTTTGACCCAGAAATCGGGAGTCTTCAGTTAAAAGCTGTGGCATGCTGTGCCCTTCAAGTTGTCGTCAGCAATTCAATTGCATGCAACTTGCAACAGGACACACTGGGCGCAAGAAATCACTGGCGCGGTCTTTTGAGCAAGTATTGCTGAACACTCTTATCTATACACTTGCCCCTGTTGAATCAGCAAGATGAACTAGGGCCCCCAGTAGTGCCCTTTCACCCTTTTTTGGGGGAGGGTTCCCCTACTAAAATTGACTACAGAAAAAAGGGTGCCCTTATTCTAACCTCTCTACTGGAGGGACTAGTGAATTGACTGCCTGGCAATTAAGCATTTGGAGTCCACGCATCGGGTGCGTCTCAAATCGAGCATTGGTGCAGATCCGGGAGTGCGTTTGCAGCTAGCGTCGGCCTCTTTTGCAATTGCCTGGCTGAAATCGGCTAGCCTCATGGCGCAAGAATTCAATAACATGTTGGGATTTTGGCAGCATGCCTGTTTGACGGGCTATATGGTACAGAAGGAAAAGTTAGATGAAGATGACTGGCTGTCCCGCTGGGCGCAGCCGTGCACATGAAGCTAGGGTTCTGCAAGTCCAAAACACTTTGAAGATTATTAACATTACTGTCTGGTGTTTTCAATCATAGGCGAGGGTTTCTTTAAGCTTCCTTTTGGAGGGCTTCAGCCATAGATACATTTGAAAGCCCGAAAGGTCAATGGTTCTAGGTTCACTTTCCGGGCACTGAGGACCCATCACCGCGGCATTTGCAGAAGGAGGATTCGGCCTGCATTTCATTGACATGTCAAGTTGTGTATGCCTTTATAAACCTAAAGCTAGGATTCTGGTTGGGTCGAGCTGGTTTTCTCCTGGTCGCCTGGCCATTGCAGGAGATCCTCAGCGAGGGCGAGGAATCGGAGTCGGAGGAGGTCGCAGAGCCGTCGGCGGAGGCTGAGGCCAAGGTGAAGGACACGAAGGAGGTCTCCCATGTCGAAACCCAGCTGGCACCGGATTCTGTTTGATCCTTTCGTTTGGATCTCCCAGTCCTGGATTCCGGAGTTTTGGACTGGAATAAAAAGAACATCCCGAGTTGTCGTTTTGCCCCAAAGGCTTTGTAAGCTTGCCTTAGGAGACTCAACCCACATTCCAAAGAAAGGCTTGCCGTATGTTTCTGCCATGGCCACCCTGCTGAGGAAGAGGCGGACTTGCCTGGCAGATCAGAGTCGGACCTGCCTGCCAGATCAGAGTCGGACCTGCCTGCGCGATCAGAGTCGGACCTGCCTGCGCGATCAGAGTCGGACCTGCCCGCGCGATCAGAGTCGGACCAGGCCACGAAGGGCGAGAGGATTTGCGGAGGTTAACGTGGTTCTCGTATCACACCCGAAAAATGCAATGTTTAATGTCAACATGGCTTTGGCCACGCCCGTGCTTCGAAGTCATAGGCAGTCCTTGCAAGTGCCAGTATCAAAGGTGTTTGTGTCATTGCGGGATGATGTCCATAATGTGTATGTGTGTGTGGGTGTGTCTGTCTGCGTCCCGTTGAATCTAGCGATTTGGCTGCAAGCTCCTTCGCCTTCTCACCTAGGCTGCCAGCCACCTCGTTCACGTTGGCTTGGTATTAGGGAGAGGGTCAACGATGCTCATGAACGCAAGTGTTTCTTCCTGGGTCAATCGAACAGGCGCAGAGGCAAAAGAGCAACAGGAATGGTCCTAGGCAATGCAGAATGCCTTGTCTGCAATGTCTCAACTGTTCGCTTTGGGAGGGGTGTGCATATACCTGGGCCCTCCGATTTCCCTATGGTCGAGGGTCGATTTGAATGGGGGCTTTGTGCCCGATGCAGGCGCATCTGTGGAGAGGCCTGGATGCCGCTCGCCCTGTGGAAGGGATCCGGAGTGTCTCACGAGTACCTGAGCCACGTGCTCAAAACCCGGGTAAGTGAGGGTTGGTAAGGGACAACCCCAATCAAAAACAGCTGCGGATATCCGCCTTCTTAATTCTTTACATGGTTCCGTGTCGACCATAATACCGGGTTTTGATTATGAAAAGCTTGCATTCGCAAAAGGTGTCCAGAAGAGGGACCAGGCGCAGGAAATATCCGACATCCGGAATCCATTCAAGATCATGGTGCCTCTGTACCTCCCTAGCTATAGAGGGTCTCTATCCGTGGTGAATCGTGCATTTGGGACATTTGCGTGGGTTTCGTGGCCCGGCCTCTGACCCGAAACCCTCTCTTGTGACTTGCGACTGGTCAGCTTCCAGGAAGTTGGTTCAACGGCTGAGCATGGCCACGTACTGGTTTCCGGTCTTCAAAGTCTCAACCGGACGAAACCCAAGCGGTCTTGGTGGCTTGCCTTTGCCTTCGTGTCTTAGAATACTCCTGGAATTAGGGTCCCAAGCCACTTTCTTGTTATTTTTTTTAGGGGGACAGCCACAGGTGTTCTAAGGTGTTGACCTTTTCAGAATCCGCTTGCTTCATGTCCTCTCTGGGATTGATCTGGTTCGACTTGTGTGTTGGGCCCTTCAACTTTTTCCCACTTTCTGAGGTTGGACATAGCTTCGCGTGGGGCGTTTCTCAAGGGGGAATCTAGGGATCGAGCATTCTTTCGCAGTATCGCCTTCCGCCATGTATGATGTTTTTTTTTTTTTTTTTGTGTGTGTGTGTAACCAGCTTTTGAGAAATGGCTATGGTTTAAAACCCCGTACCCCCAGTGCACATCCCAATCCCCACTTAAATAGGCTAAACTGGGTGGTGAATTCACCTACCCACCAAAATGGGATCCCATTGGGGTTGACGGCCAAATGTCAACTCTTTGAGTTGGTAAGCCAACAGGAATAGATGTCTTTTGTCCAAGGACTATACGGCCATGGCGGTGGCTGAGATGGCCGGGGACAGCCGAGCAGTGGCGGCCCATGCGCGGAGGCTCCTGGATGGGGTGATCCTTGAGGAGGAGCAGCCCCCAGAGGAGCCGGAGCCGGAAGTGCGCCTCGGCATGAAAACAAAAAGCGGCTCTTGGGGATCCTGGGCTAGGTCCCAGTAGTGCCCTTTTACCGTTTCATTTTTGGGGGAGGGCACTTCAATAGACTACAGAAAAAAAGGGTACCCTTATTCTAACCTCTCTACTGGAGGACCGAGTGGGGATCGAGCCACCAGTCAGCTCGATCCCCACTGGGTCCTCCAGTAGAGAGGTTAGAATAAGGGTACCCTTTTTTCTGTAGTCTATTTTAGAAGCGCCCTCCCCCAAAAATGAAACGGTAAAAGGGCACTACTGAGCCACCAGTCAGCTCGTTTTGTTGTTGGTAGCATGTTTTAGGTCGTAGTTTCCCTTGGTTACCTAGAGGGGAAGTGGAAGGTACTGGAAGTCGAACAAAGTCGTGTAAAAGTTGATGCTGAATGCTGGTTATCGGGGTGATACCCCGTTGTAAAGGGCTGTGCGCGGGGGTCTCGGGCTTCCAACCACTCGGTCTCGGGCTGGGGTCCCTCCAGTGGGATTTTCTGGAGTGGTTGGAAGTAGGAGCCACTGAACAGCACAGGTGATCCAAGCCACTAAAACGGGGTCGACTGGCTCCATGCGAATTTCCCACAAGAAGCCTTCCAAGGCAAGCGAACGGGCGCAGTGGGGCAATCAGCGCCCTGCCCAAAGTGCCGTTCGAAGGGGTAAGGGTTGCCGGTGAGACCTTGACTGCGGTTTGAAAGGGAAGTTGCAGAGAAACCACCTGTCAGGACCCCCCTAACTATTCCCTGAATGCCACCTTATCATGGTTGTTTTTTAGAAACATCTTACATTCTTGCTTATTGTGGATTTAAGTGCTTGAAATCCAACCACTTAACTGCCAAAAGGTAGATTTTAGAAATCCAGCCACTGCTAAAAGTTAGATTTTTGCTGCTCCCCTTACCTCAACCCAAGCGAAAGGAGGGCGATTGCCGGTGGCTCCAGTGGCTCCGTGAGGCCTCAGCCGGATCTCGAGGAGCCGCAGCCGAGGCGCCGCAGATGCTCCGGATCCGTCGGCGGGCGGTTCGCCTGGTGGGTGGCCCGGTGGGTTGCTTCCTTTTCGTGGGTTGTTGGGACACATTTGTTTTTCGCATTTTTGCTTGTGGCGGTTTAGTGGCAAATCCCCACTCAACTGCTGGAATTTATTTTTGTTTGCTCCCCTTCCAACGTCAACCAAGTTGTTTAAGTTTTTTTTTGGGGGGTAGGGGGTTGTTAGCGCCAGTTTCGGTGTTTCTGGGTAAGGGTCCCCCTTTAAAGTCAACCCACCAAAAAAGGAAGGGATGTGGGCTCCACTCAGGGGGGGTGGGGTCTTGAGCAATGTGGAGGAACCAACCCAAAAAAGGATGCCATTTTTTCCCCATGGAAATCAATCCACTGGGCATCTGAGGCAAACCGAGCGGGAAACCATGGTGCAGATCCTGCGCTTGGATCCGGTGCTTTTCTTGTGAACTGCCTATTTTGAGACCGTGGCTAGGCTCTGAAACCCCCATTGCTAGGTTTTCGTCTTGGGAATGACAGTTCCCCCACGAACCGGCAAACGGCTTGAATACTTGCAAAGGCGTAAAAGGCTTAAGAAGCGACCCAGATTGAAGTCCTTGATGTTGCGAGTGCATTGTCGGGGACCCCTTCCAATCCAGAGGGGGTGCTCCCGGGCCAGAAAACACTGTAAAGCACAGTGTTTCGTAGCATTTATCATGTTACAATCACATCCCCACCAGCACCCAGTCTCTTCCAAACTGGGTGCCTTCCTTTCGGTTTCCGTGCAGCGAAGACGTGCAGCGCAGCCCTTGACGTTGCCAGGCCGCCGTCCAATCCGCCGGAGAAGCCGCGCCGCGAGCGACACCAGGCCTTTGGTGTGGAACGGGATGGCCGTGGTGCTTTGTGCAGTTCCGGGGTTGGCCCTTCCAAAATGAAACAAAAGGGGTGGGTCCCTGTTTTTGCGTGGAAATCCAGTGTCGAGGTTTGGGGTAGGTGACCCATTTTGACCCGGGCGAAGTGTGTTTTTTTCTTTCGGTGTTGGGTGGCAAAGAACAGGGGTACTGGATTGCCAGACTTGTGCTGGTGTTTGTCCTGCCGGCAGGTTTGGGGCTGTTTGGCGTGACAGAGCTTGTGACACAGCTGTGACAGAGCCTGATTGGGAAGGGCTGGTTTAGAGTTAGGGATGTTTTCTTGTGGGATTTGGGTTTGGGGTTTAGGGTGGCCGTCCGTTTATTGTTGGGTTTAGGTTGGGATTGGGGTGAGGATTGGGTTAGGGTGGGTTCAGGGAGGGAACCACTTGATTTGGGGGGGGGGGGGGGGTTATGGTTGGGTTTAGGGTTGTTGTAGGGTTTGGGTTTGCTTTCGGGTTCGTTTCGGGGCGGTTTAAGGTGCTGATGGTGTCGGGGATGGTTTAGGGTGGGTGTAGGGTTGGTTTGGTTGGTTTATTGGTTGAGTGATTGGCTTCGCGAGCGTTTAGGGTGGGGTGGGATGTTTTGAATTGATTTAGGAGGGGGTTAGTTTAGGGCTGGTTTTGGGTTGGTTTGGGGTTGCTTTGGTTGGGTTGGTCTAGGGTTGTTGTGGGGTGGGGTTAGGGTTGCTTTGGAATTCGGGCGGGGTTAGCGGGTTTGTCTCAAAACAGGGAACCCACCCCCAAAAAAACATGGTAACAGCAACAACAACAAATGTATGTGAATATATGTGTAGATAGCCCCTTTACAACACATAAAAGGGTACTCGCAAACTAGACACGAACCACCCAGCATTTTTATGTCTTTGCCCAGTTTGGGGTTTTTAAAGTTGAGGTTTTGCCGAACAAGCAGCCTTGCCCAAAAGGCTGCCTTGCAAAAAGGCATGGCTATAGGAGAAACATGGTAGACACATGTGGTAGTTCAATTGTGGGTTATATGTTATGTGCTTGAAGGCTTGCCCGAGAATGGATAGCAAGCAGCCTGACAGAGGGTTAATTGGACACCCTCGGAAAGGCCACACCCATTTGGTTTGAAAGGGTGAGCTGAATTCGAGAGACTCCTAGAGCGTTCACGCAAAGCTGTGGGTTCTTCCCCTGCAACCGCCCGCTTTGGCGACTTTGGTATCGTGGGCCAGTTGTACTTGAAGTTCCTCCGGCACTGCAGGCGCAGCGAACCTCGGGCGAGGTCGAGTTGCCATCTCCGCGGAATGAGGGGGCTCCATGACGCAAGCGGGGATGGATCGGATTCGTGTGGGCAGGTTACTGGCTGAAAAGGGAATACATTTAAGTTGGCTAGGTCCCCCAGTAGTGCACCTTTACCGTTTCTTTTTTGGGGAGGGTTCCCCTACTAAATTAGACTACAGAAGAAAATCGGGTACTCTTATTCTCACCTCTACTGGAGGACCTAGTTGGAAATATCGTCAAAGTGCAGGGCGTCAGGGTCCTAAGTCCCACTATTTTCAACATCCAAATGGGGATCCTGGGGAGGGTTGAAGGACACCAACAGGAATCCAGACATGTTTGGTGGCTTCCCGTTCCGGCAAGCACAGGAACAAACGCGGACAACTGTTGTTTTCGGATGCTCAACAGCCAACTGGGTCTAAACCGAGCTTATCCATGATGAAGGTGATGTATTTAGGCTTGCTTCATTCAGGTTGGCAAGACAGAATGTAGATGTTCACCTTCAAGGATCCCTTGATCCATTTCCTTTTCTCCCTTTCAGAGAGATCAATCGTCCTTTGGAACGTTGCCGAATCGCGCCAAGGCTCGCCGGGCCTTCGGCGGACGAGTGCATTCAGGCGTGAGGATTCGACGAGTGCACTCGTGCACACTCCGCCACAGCCCAAACCCCCCCCCACCCCAACATCCCAACATGCCCAACACGCCTCCAGTTTTGGAGAAGATGACTGTCCGTGAAACAGCATGCTTGGGGGTCAAAGTGTGAATAACTTTGGTCCCTTATATCCGGCTCAGGACACCGATTGATTCCAGGCTGACTCTTTGGCTGGGCGGCGCGTGTGGGATGCGCAAACGCCCGCAAAAGAGTTGTTTGGCCAGAATGGCCGCTTGCAACGTTCAAGGGCAACCTGCAAACCGTTGGGCAATGTTGCGAGTTTGGGTTTGGACGTAATCGAACACAGCACCGCTGTTTGCACTTGATCAAAGCTTCCAAGACAATCAACAACCAAATGGGCTTGGGACGCCATTGCACGGCTTTGTGGCTTTGTGTGTCTCAATAAGAAAGGTGCGCATGTTGCAGCACGTGTAGTTTTAAAGGTAAGCAACCACCAAAATATCAAACACTACATGTTGTGCTAGCAGAAGTCACAAATTCAAGCTTGTGCTGTCCGATATGACGTACAGCGCAGAGTTGTTGCATTCATGTTGCCGTGCTATTCCTTCGTCATTACATACTTACAAGATGGCTACACGAGAGTGTTTGTTCAAGCTAGCGACCATGTCCTAGAACTGGGATAAATGATGGCAGAAGCCCAATATTCTGAAAGCAAATTATCTAGATCCTGGCGATTGTTGTTTTATCGCATTTGCCGGTAGAGTAATGGAGGGGTCGACCTTTGCTGCCTGCAAGAAGATCGCTTTGCAGGCATTCATCGACTTCCAAGGCAAGAAACGCACCATCCGGAGGATGGCATAGCCTTAGGCGAGGTCCCCGCAAAAGCTCCTCGGCAGGTACAATCATGAAGCCACAGGTGCAAACCTGTAGGGCTGTGGGTCAAAACCAATGGTACCATTTTGGAGTAGGTGCGCCACCCATTTTAGTCTATTTTAGTGCACTAGGATTGGGATGTTCACGGTACGAGATTTGACCCATGGCCATAGCCCAATTGGTGACCATTGTATCACACGTTTGCGAATCAGCGATTCGCTGACTAGATGAGAAGGCGAAGGTGTTGGACAGTGATGGTCGTGAGGAGTGTGGTCACTTCCACGTTGACACCCCGTGCAATTCTAGCAGCTTGTCCGGCGTGCGCATCTTTGGGCTTGCTGTTTTTTGTCTATGTTTTGCGTTTAGGATGGGTGCTTCCAAGCATGGGGGAGCTTAAATATCACTTCAAGCGCCATCCGAACAAGGCGCGGATTGGTTCCATGCCATTTTCGTTTTTTGATGGAAATCATGGTGAGAAACATCAGAATCTATAGGTTTCGGAGCGGTATCTCTTTGTTACGACCTTCACCCTGCCATGTTGTTTTAAATTGATGAATGCTTTCCAACTAGCCAAGCCACCAAGCAAATAAATTGTCCAACTGTCTGGAAATAAGCTCAGGTGAAATTCCAACAGCATGCGGTGCTCTCTTTGGTGCTCGCACCACCCCGCAGCCCTCGCAGAACCTCGTGGAACCCTGGTGAAACTCTGGTGGAACCCTCGAGGATTCCTCGTGGAACCTTACCTCAGGGCCGCCCCCGACCACCCCGAAGCTTCCACGGCTGAGACCCCAAAGCTTTCAGCTGTTGGGGAAAAAGTACTATAGGGCAACGAGCCTTTGCCACCCCCAGCTTCCACGTCTTTTGTGTTCCGCTTGAGGCGGCTCCGGCGAAGGCGCCTTTTGCGCCGGCGCTGAAAAAGGCGCCCCTGGTGGCATCCCCGCGCCCGCAAAAGGAGGAGCCTTGCAGTTGGTTCTTGCTGGTGCGATACTGGCCTCATTGTTTTACCATGGTCAAAGTCACCCCCTAAGTAGTGGGTTAAAGGGAAACAACCCCATTTCTGACTTTGATAACCCCCAGAAACCGTCAAAATCATGATTCCTGCGATAGGCATGGAATGAGAATTGGAATGACCAGTAGAAAAACCATCCGACTGGTGTCCTTGAAGGAAATTTGTAGCTGGATTCCCTCTTGTTGATATTGAGCACCAGCAAGGGCTTTGTTGACCAACTTTTGTACCAAGGGAATCCCCGGTTTAGAGCCAGCTTATGCTGGGTTCAGGGGTGGCTTGGCAAGTTTAGGTCCCCATTTTTTATCCCTTTAAAGGGATAATGCTGTTTCGCCGGGAAACTACGCCGTGTTGCGTGGGTGATTCGTGCCAAGCTTGCACACCTGAAAACATGTATGCAGGCGACATTGTTCGCTGTCACATAACCGCGAATACTTGCATGCGTTTGAGGAAGCAGCGGACACGTTGCATGGTGGAAGTCCCAGTCAGGTAGTTTTGGTGGATTCCGTTGACCGACAATCCATGCCACTAGTGGTGGAAAGACTGCGCAGCCTTGAAGACTTGTTGTATTTAGGCCCACATGAAATGGGCATTGTCAGCAGTCTATGGTCGGGAGGTAGTGACAAGAAATAACAGTACAGGGCATCCATGTCTTGTAATTGGAATGAATATAATTTGAACCCCTTTGTGAGTATCAATTGGAGGGCAAGTTTGGTGCTAATAGTCACGGTAATTCCAGCTCCAATCGCGTATATTAAAGTTGTTGCGGTTAAACAGCTCGTAGTTGGATTTCTGTTTGGGGTGACCGGTCCGCCTTCTGGTTGGGAATCTGGCTCAGCCTTGACATCTTCCTGAAGAACGTGTTTGCGCTTCGCTGTGTGGCACGGCATTTAGGACTTTTACCTTGAGGAAATCAGAGTGTTTCAAGCACGCGCACGCCTTGAATACATTAGCATGGAATGATAAGATAGGACCCCAGTTCCATTTTGTTGGTTTCTAGAGCTGAGGTAATGATCGATAGGGATAGTTGGGGGCATACGTATTTAACTGTCAGAGGTGAAATTATTGGATTTGTTAAAGACGGACTACTGCGAAAGCATTTGCTAAGGATGTTTTTATTGATCAAGAACGAAAGTTAGGGGATCGAAGACGATCAGATACCGTCCTAGTCTCAACCATAAACTATGCCGACTAGAGATTGGAGGTCGTTAATTGCATGACTCCTTCAGCACCTTACGAGAAATCCAAGTCTTTGGGTTCAGGGGGGGGAGTATGGTCGCAAGGCTGAAACTTAAAGGAATTGACGGAAGGGCACCACCAGGAGTGGAGCCTGCGGCTTAACTTGACTCAACACGGGGAAACCCACAAAACCAGGGAGCTTTGCCAGGACCCAGAAAGCATCTCGCTGGCTGGCACAAGCCCCAAAGCACCAGAGCGGAGGAGATTGGTCTTTCGGAGTGAGGGGTGGCCTTGGGATCTCTTTTGATTTGGTTCCGTTTTTTGCACGGAACCTTTCTTTTTTGCTGATTCTGGTTGCTTAACCCCGCTTTGGTTGGTTGCTTGCTTGCTTGCTTAGTTGGTTGCTTGGCTGCATCACCAGCATCACCAACCCCACTTGGACCCAGGGCTGCCTGGTTGCTCGGAATTGGTGGCAGTCAGGGCTTGCTCGTGCTGGGTGAATGACTCATGACGGTGGGTGTTTCGATCGACACCCCCAAAACTATCCTAAAGCACTCCCAAAGCCACACACTTCCCCCAACAGGAATCTATCCTAAAACAATCCCACAGCCACGCACTTCCCAAAACAAGGTGGGGGGGATGGTACTCCCAAAGCCACACACTTTCCTTAGCAGGAAGGGTCTTCCCATAACAAGGTGGGTGGGCGGGATGGTGCCTCCTGTCTCCCCAAAAAAGGAACCTGCCTTGGGGGATGTCGCAAAATTCCCTAAAGTCGGCGGACAAGTCAGCACTTGGGACACAGGAATTGCCCTTCGGCGCCCGACAACTCGGCTTCTGTTTGCCGCTCCAATAAAACAAACCCGTAACGGCTTGAGACAAATGCCAGTTTCTTTTTGCTTTCCCTTGGAAAAACCGGCTAGATACTTCAAAACAACACAGATGCCCCAGCCAGTTTATTTTTGCTTTCCGTGGAAAAATCGGCTAGATACTTTAAAACGACACAGATGCCCCAGGCAGTGTAGTTTTTCCAATCCTTGGAAAAAATCGGCCAGATACTTTAAAACAACACAGATGCCCCATCCAGTTTCTTTTTGCTTTCCCTCGGAAAAAACCGCCTGGATACTTTTAGAACAACACCAATGCCCCAGCCAGTTTCTTTCTGCTTGGAAAAACCGGCTAGATACTTGAAAACCACACAGATGCCCCAGATGCCCCAGCCAGTTCTGTTTGCTTTCCCTTGGAAAAACCGGCTAGACACAGATGCCCCAGCCAGTTTCTTTTTGCTTTCCGTAGGAAAAACCGCTAGATATTGGAAAACAACACAGATGCCCCAGCCAGTTTCTTTTGGCTTTGCGTTGG